GAGACACATCCTCACCGTGTTTAAAGAGCTCTTTAAGCGTCTCTGAGGTAAACGGCTCAGACGGCGTGGTCAGCAGGAGGTCAGAGTGACGGAGCTCAGGACAACAGACCCATTCAGACGGACACCATCATGAATTCACTCAGTGAGGTGAACCAGAGTATTTTTACTGATGCACATGTTCGTATTTAAACTGTAAACACACTCTGTCCTGTAAGTTAAAGACCTGCTGACGTTCACAGCAGCAGCAGAAGAACAAGAAGCTTCTTCAGATCCTCTGATGGAGAGCAAACAGGAGCTCCGACCTCTCTGTGTGTGTGTGTGTGTGTGTGTGTGTGTGTGTGTGTGTGTGTGTGTGTGTGTGTGTGTGTGTGGTCATATGACAGGCCGTATTGAGTGAGCTGGTGTGCAGCAGAGGAAACGCAGCCGTACTCTAACCCTGAGCACACAGGGCCCGGCAGCTGCTAATTAAATCAATATGAGATAATGAAGTGCAATTAGAGGCGCAGGCTGCGCCCGTCTTTGCTGTGAGCGCCGTTTCCTCCCTGTGGACTCGCGCCTCTTTAGGACCTGTTAGTTTTTCACTTCCAGGAGCCGCAATCCCCACGGCAACCGTTTGGAGGAGCGAGTGCCGAGCTGAGAGGCTGCCAACGCATTCTCTCACTCAGACAGGGCGCCGCTCTGCATTTATCCTCACCCACGGCTCTGTGCACGGCCACACACACACACACACACACACACACACACACACACACCTCTGCCTCTCTCTCTGTGAGTTTTTTCACAGTTTGCAGGATTTCGCCGAGCTCGGCTGTGAGCAGCGAGGACGTCTCTAACAAACACCTGTTTCAGGTGGAAACGCCGTTTTGATCCGTGTGTCAGACCGAGCGTCTCTGATCTTCTGTATCTCATGTTTGGACTCGGCTCGTCTTCATGGCTGCCGTCTTTGACTGTCTCTTTAATTTTCTGCTGGTTTCTCATCTGATCCTCCAAAGTCAGCAGATGGCACTCTTTAGCTTCAGCAGGAACATGCTAACTCTCTCCTCCTCCTCCTCTCATGCAGAGCTTCAGCTCAGCTTCCTGTCCGGGGTCAGAGGTCACGGCTGACCCTGTAGGATGATGCTCAGCTCTGCAGTGTGACTCTGGGAGATGGAGACAGACAGCGGAGTGGAATCCTCCAGAGACTGCAGCTTTCATGCACATGTGTCTCAGGCTGATCTGAGATCTGCTGCCTCTCTCTCACATGTTTCCACATAAGATGAGCAGAAAGTCAACAAACATGTTCAGACGCAGGAAAACAGCTGAAAACATCAGGTCTGTCTTCACGCGTTTCCTTTGGCATCAGGAGCACTTAGCAGGGGCGTCTTCAGCGCGGCGTGCTGACGTCTAATGGGCTTTTAAGAGCTCGGTAAGGGGACTATTTGTGTACCATCAGTGGAGTCTGTGATCGCTGTGTGACAACAGTATTTTAAGCCGGCTCCACAGCGGCGGAGGATGAGTACCCTGAGCTGTGGTTTCCCCTGGGGAGATTATGCTACTGAGATCTAACAGCTCAACTTCTCCTCCACTTTCCAACTCAGGTGTCTGTTTCTGCAGAGAGACAACTGAAAGACTTGATTCTCCTTTTCAGCAGAAAATGCATGTTTGTGAAGAGGACTAAACAGGGCGTTTTCCACGCTCACTCGCTCGCTCTGCAGACAGACAGACAGACAGACAGATGGAGGGGAAGTTTGATTTGTTGTCGGGAGTGTTTGCTGCTCTCCAGAGACTCTTATTTTATCATTTCAGACTGAAGCTGTTCTCTGTTGGAGAGGAAACTCAAACAGGCTTTACCTGCGCCTCACCTGTAACATGATCACAGGTGAACCAGCAGAGACCATGACCAACCTCCACCCATCTCCAGGGCCGCAGTCAGACTCATTTTCAGCCTCAGACACTCTCGCCTCAGACCGGCCCACTTTGAATGAATGAATGAATGAATGAATGAATGAATGAATGCTTTTATTCCAGTTTAGAAACAAAAAATAAAATCATATTTTTACAAAAGAACCCCTCAGACAGAAACTTAAAGAAGGTTTCTGTGTTTCCTGTCCCATCGTAGGAATAATTCACAGTAAATCATCAGAACTAGTCTCTCATTACAAATCACACAAGAGCTGAAACGGAAAAATCAAATTCAATCACATTTCATTGTAACCTTTGATAATTTTAGAGTCTTTTTGAAAACTAACTAGAATTACACGTCCTCATTTCATCTTTATTTCATCTTTATTTCATCTTTATTTCATGTTTTAGTCCAAACTGACCCACATCTGTACTTGGATTAGTTCTGACTTCGTTAGTTTCAAACATTAGCGCCCCCTTCAGTTATTAATCCTCTGCCTTAGCGTAAACATCTTTGAATACAAACAGGAATTGTCTTATTTACCCTCCAAACATAATTTCTCATGTTTTCAAATAAACAACATCCAGAAGTTTTAATGTTTGTGATCTTATAAAAGCTGATTTGTAGAATTACAGTATCCAACTTCATTTATTCTCCTAATAACTCTTTTTTTCTGCAGTTTAATTATTGGATCTAAATTCATTTTATATGCATTTCCCCAGATTTCAGCACAGTGTGTCATATAAGGCATCAGGAGTGAAACGTACAGCAGATGAAGGCAGTTCTTATTCAGTCAATCTCTTGTTTTATAAAGAATATAAATAATAGACTTTGATCATTTCAGTTTTACATATTTTATGTGAGATTTCCAACAAACTTTATCGTCTATTATTATATACAGTTTCAACACTGTTTAAGTTCAGTTTTACCTCAGTGTTAGTCCTTTTACCTCCAAACAACATACATTTAGTTTGACTTTCATTTAACCATAACTTATTTAAAGAAAACCATCTCTTCATCAGTTCTGTTTCTACAGTTATTAACAACTCCTTTATGTTAAATTCCTTATTTTGGATTTACTTTCAACACACAGGAAATGAACACCTGTCTCTGTGCTCAGACAGGTGTGAGGGGTCAAAGTTTAAAAGGTTAATGATTAAAAAAAGAGACACACTTTTACTCTCTCTCTAACTGTTATTTTCATTCACTTACAGATATTAAAATGTTTGTGTTGGTAATAAATAATAGTTCATGAAGTGTAAATATGTTAAAAATTTCGTTTAAAGTGAAAATTCAGGTGTTGGTTTTAAAATCCATTCATATTTTTATTTAAACAAAAAAAGACCAGGTTTTTGTTTTTGTGGGGAAGTGAAGCATCTTTTTATTCTCCCATCTTTGCATATCTGTCTTCTCAGCCAATCATGTCCCTTAGCTTGTTCAGGTAGGCGGAGCTTATCATGATTGACAGGCCGCAGCAGTAAACAGAGACAGCTGTATGAGCAGGTTAGCCGTTAGCCGTTAAAGTAGCATGAAAAGACCCTCCTAACCTCTGAAACTGACGGATGGTCCGTCCTGAGGCTGATGTTTGTGAACTCTGAGAGGCTGTCGGAGGTAAATCCATGAGTTTGGAGGTTCTCACTGCTGGAGCTCATTTCTAATGTGTACAAAGCTAACTGAATCGCTAATCGCTGCTAGCCTTTAGCTTAGCCTCCTCATAGGCTTTCACTGTTTATTCTGCATTTCCGTTAGCATTTAGCTAATTAGTTTAAGACAGTCTGTGTTTCTGTGTCATAATTAAATCTGTGATTCAGGACCAGACAAAAAGGACCGGGAGAGTCCTGGACCGGGACCCGAGCTGCTGGACCTGAGGGTTTCCCGCCACCTGTTTCTGCTGACTCCGCCCCCTAGAGGCTGAAACTGCACTCAGGCCCCCCCACCCCCAATCTTCATCTGTGGATCCGTGAGTACAGTTCAGTTTGTGTTGAAGTTTGTGAAGTTCGTTTGTTTCCGATGTTTTGTAAATCCATCGTCCAAATGGCCGACCACGCCTCACTGCGCAGGTGCACATATCAAAAACGTCATTTCACGAGCTTTGTCATAGATTCATCCTACCACCATGACAGAAGAGGGTCCGGCAGGATTTGATGCGCTCGTTGATGACTCACAACAAGTCGGAAATAACGTTGTGTGTTGTTGTGTGTTGTTGTGTGTTGTTGTGTGTTGTTGTGTGTTGTTGTGCTCACACAGTGCGAGTAGAGTCATTGGTGGCGCATTGATATTAATGATCATGTGATATTTCGGTAGCGGGGTCGCTGCTGATGCACGAGTCCGAGGGAGAACTATGTGAGATTCAAACTCATTTGTTTTTTACCCGTGGCGGTGCGCGGTGTCGGGGAAACCCTGTTAATACAGATTTCTTTGATTGAGTGTCGGCGTGTTTTGAAAAATAAAACTCTATGAGCTGTTTAAGGGGCGGCACAGCGGTGTCGTGGTTAGCACTGTCGCCTCACAGCAAGGAGGTCTTGGGTTCGAATCCCCCACATCCCTACGTTTTCTTAAATCTATAAAGTCAGTCTGAGTTTTAGTTTCCTGTTTCCATGAACAAAGACTCTGAAATTAAAAAAATGAACATGAATGAAACAGGAAGTGCTCACGGTAGGATTTTCTGATGAGGTCGCACAGATTGGCAGACGAGGCCGTCATTTCATCCTACAGCAGGACGGTTTGGAGGGGGGGGGGTCCTGTGTTTGAATCCCTGACAACGTCTAAATATCAATGACTTACTGATAAATCTGTTTATCTCAGTTACATGATTTAACCCTCATTATTATTATTATTATTATTATAAGAGAGTGAAGGCAGCGTACTGAGCGCGCTCAGAGTTTAATGATGACGAGTTTACCTGAGTTTACTCAGACACCTTTTTAACTCCTCAGGAGGAGGAGCTAAAAAACAAACAGTCTTTCTTCAGTCTGCAGCACACATACACACACACACACACGCACACACACACACGCACGCACACACACACGCACACACACACACACACACACACACACACACACACTCACACACACACACACACACACACACACACACACACACACACACACACAAAGAGTGAATCTGCCATTTAATAATTATGAGGCGTAAAATCCTTGCCGACGGCGAGCATACTGAAGGATGTAATTATGACCCTTTCAGAGAGCCCACGCTCGATGGCAGCGCCGACGTTTCCGACCGCAGAGAAAGAGGAAAAAAAACTCCTGAGGAATGATGGGAAAATCTGCCCTTCATCGCAATTAAGGACAATAATTCTCTGCAAGAAAATTGTTTCAATTGCTTTTCAGCCCAGGAGCCACACGGCTCTGACGGGGTGAGGACGGGGGTGAGGATGGGGGTGATGGGGTGAGGCTTTAAGATGGGGGTGGCAGGGTTAGGATGGAGCGTCTGGTTGGTTCATTGTGCAGCAGGAAGTGAGCTGTAGGGGAGGCTGAGCAGGAGTCAGGAGGAGTGTGGAGGAGTGCAGGTATCATCAGGGTGCAGGTGTCCTTCAGGCCAGGATCAGGTGTTTCCTGGATCTCAGAGCTGCTGCAGGACTCCCAGGTCTCTGAGAGGGTGTCTGCAGTCCAACCTCCAACCTTTGGCTTTAGTCCTGAAATAAAGGAGTTCACGGCTGCAGAAACAATTCAACACATTTGAGGACATTTTATTTTGAAATTTTGGAAGCAGGTCTGGTTGGATTATCTGCTTCACCTCCTCCAGCAGCTTCAACACCACAAAGACCTGCTGACAGACTCCTGGGGGGGCTCTAAAGCTGCAGAACAGGCCTGGAGGGGGCGCCAGTGTGAAACTAAAGTTCTGAGGGTCTGAAGGTCTGAAGGTCTGAGGGTCTGAGGGTCTGAAGGTCTGAAGATCTGAGGGTCTGAAGGTCTGAAGGTCTGAGGATCTGAAGGTCTGAGGGTCTGAAGGTCTGAAGGTCTGAGGGTCTGAAGGTCTGAAGGTCTGAGGGTCTGAAGGTCTGAGGGTCTGAAGGTCTGAGGGTCTGAAGGTCTGAAGGTCTGAAGGTCTGAGGGTCTGAAGGTCTGAAGGTCTGAGGGTCTGAGGGTCTGAAGGTCTGAAGGTCTGAAGGTCTGAGGGTCTGAAGGTCTGAAGGTCTGAGGGTCTGAAGGTCTGAGGGTCTGAAGGTCTGAGGGTCTGAGGGTCTGAAGGTCTGAAGGTCTGAAGGTCTGAGGGTCTGAAGGTCTGAGGGTCTGAAGGTCTGAAGGTCTGAAGGTCTGAAGGTCTGAGGGTCTGAAGGTCTGAAGGTCTGAGGGTCTGAGGGTCTGAAGGTCTGAGGGTCTGAAGGTCTGAGGGTCTGAAGGTCTGAAGGTCTGAGGGTCTGAGGGTCTGAAGGTCTGAGGGTCTGAAGGTCTGAAGGTCTGAGGGTCTGAGGGTCTGAAGGTCTGAAGGTCTGAAGGTCTGAGGCAGGGCTGCACGATACATCGATTGAACATCGTCATGGCGATGTAGGTGTGCGTGATAGTCACGTGTCAGAGCCTGCCAGCCGTCAATCAAAACCAAAGAGGATGAAACCACGCCCCTGCCCATGGAGTGAGTCGCTGATGCTGCTGGTGTTGAGCCGAGAAACTCATACCTGCCGAGGATGACGTTGGGAACCTTCCTCATCTCTGTTTATCCCATAAATCAGAACTGTACGGGTTAAAGTGTTCCTTTCTGTGGACCACTCGACTATCAGCGGTGCGCGTTTCTGCGAGGTGGATGAGATTCTCGGCGGACACGTGTTTCTCGGCACAACACCTGAAACAACAACAACAAGAATTGTAAAATGAGAAACAAACAAAGAAAACCAACGAAGATGAAGATTTGTTTCACTTATCTGGAATTATTTCAGTGAAGAAGGATGATGTCGACTAAAACTCGTGTTCTGTGTTCATCTGTTTCCACGGTAACGTCCCAGAACAATAAAAACTAAAAATATCTCTGAGACAGACAGAAGACAGTCGACTAACATTCACTAAAGAGGGAAGATCAGAGCAGGTTAACTGTCCTCAAGACTTCAGCAGAAACTCAGATTCAGATCATCTGAGGAGGAAAATTCATCGATTATTTTATATCGTCATAAAAATCACAGCAGGTTAAAACACATCATTCAGTCTTAGTTTGAAGGTCTGATGGTCTGAAGGTTTGAAGGTCCGCTCCTTTCATGGCCTGATGGTGAAGACAGCTGTCTGGGCTGATGGTGGCGGTGGACTGGTGGCGGGCTGATGGCGGCTTGTTGGTGGCAGGAGGAAGGGAAATACACACGTGTGCGGCCGGGTAACGATGGGCCGGGATGACACACGCTGCTGCTCCTCAGCACGCCGGGGTTCTTGTTTTCACGCTGGACTGTGGGACTCGTAAAGGCGTGTAGAAGTGTGTCACTGAATCTGTCGTAGCGCTCTGCGGCGTCTGAATCCGCCGTTTCCTCTTCCTCTCTCTTTGTTTCCACATGTTTCTGCTCGTCCGTCATCTCGCTCTGCGGCTGATTTGACAGGTAGGGGCCCGCCGCAGGGGTCAGTCCCACATCTGTCTGTCTGTCTGTCTTTAAACGGTTAACTCGCCTCTTGTCCTCCGTCAGCGGGCGGAGGGAGCGCCGCCGCCGCCGTCGGAGGAAAATGGATTCCTTTATATGCAAAACAAACAATGAGAGGAAATCAAACATTCAGCCGAGCTGTCAGCTCCTTTCAAGAATCAATAATACCGAGCTTTTCATCCGCAGACCCACCTCTTCCTGGTAATTATCCGCCATATTTATACCCCCCAACACACACACACACACACACACACACACACACACACACACACACACACACACATACACACACACACACACACACACACACACACACACACACGTTCTGTCCTGTTTAGATGTTTGTCGTTCACGTCTCCTTTCACCAAGTCTTCCTCTCACTTTCTTCAGCCGTCCATAGTCTCGTCTTCTTCTTCTTCTTCCTCGTCTTCTTCTTCTTCTTCTTCTTCTTCTTCTTCTTCTTCAGGGTTTCTATGAAGTCATAAATCATCACTTACCCGCCATTGGGACGACGGTCAGTGATTGGCTGTTATCTTTTAGAGGACAGATGAGGTTCTGCTGGTCCTGAGTGGAGACCCTGTGTGTGTGTGTGTGTGTGTGTGTGTGTGTGTGTGTGTGTCCTGCTGTTGTTTGGTCAACACCTTCAGGGGGATCTCAGGTTGACCAACAACAACAGCAGGTCGGTGTCAGACGTCAGAAGTGTCTACAACTGCTGCTGGGCATTTTGGAGAAACAAGAAGATGGAGCATCGTACAGCGTTGTTTTTGTCCGACATGATGGACGCGCTACTTTTTCTAAAGAGGAGACCAACGCTACTCCTCTACTCTGGGGGTTTGTTACGGGGTTACGGGGGCGTGGCTTCATACTCCGACTACTCTGGTCACATGGTAGAGAAGATTATAGTCGGACTAAAGTGTTTACATGACCTTCAGTTGTCCCGTCTTTATCGGAATAAGGCGATAATTCGGTTTTCTCGAGCGTCATGGAAACGGACTGAGTGTTTCAGTGTGTGTTTCGGTGTGTGTTTTGATGTGTGTGTTTTGATGTGTGTGTTTCAGTGTGTGTTTCGGTGTGTGTGTGTGTGTGTGTGTGTGTGTGTGTTTGTGTATTGAGCTGTAGCCTCACACTGAAATATTAAAGTTTTTATTAAACACAGGGACCCTCTTCACTCCACTCAAGGTTGTTTGGACCATTATCAGCTCCGTCTGATCAGCTGTTATCAGCTCCGTCTGATCAGCTGTGACCCCGACGTTTGGAGGGGGGGGGCGGTGCCGGTACTCGGGTTCAGACCACATCATTGCAGCTCCAATCTAAGACAAACTTCTCTACATCGGACCTTCAGTTCTCGTTCGGTCAGATGATCGTCTTTTCTAAGTCGACAAAAACCCGATCATCAGGTCTGTCCACCTCCCCGACAGTAGGTGGCGATATGATGTCTGTCAGCTTGTTAATATTAGGATGTCCTTCGGTCAGTGTTGAATATCGTTCCCATAGACTGTTTCTAGAATAGATTCCGTCTGCCTCCTCCTCTCTCTGAGAACAGCGCCCTCTGGTGACGGGCTGCAGTATAGGTCATAAACCCCGCCTCCTTATGGAGCTGTGGACAAACTTTCTAAATGAATGACACAGAATATAAATGTTTCTCCCCCCTGGTTGTGATGTTGACATGTAGTTACTGTCAGACTGGTTTGTGCTCAAGTCCTCTTTTTTCTGTACAGCTCCATTTTTAAAAGTTATTAGGGGGTTCATGTTTTCTATGATTGACAGCTGATACAGCCAATGGGAGGACAGAGATTGAGTCGATCACCGGGGGATACGCTGTTTGAGCCGAGCGTCATCACAGCGGCACTCACACCGGACGTTACTGCGCACACGCCGCTTTCAGGAAATGGAGAAAATCCCAGAAACACTGAGAGAAATTTGTCTTCACCTTTGAACGATGAGCCGCGTCGTCCGTAGAGCTGTCAGGAGTATCGATACTTACACGCCGTGGTATGGAGTAATTTCCTGGGTGTGGTTTATCGAGTTTGATAGTTTAGTATCGTGACGACTTTGTAGAGTCTGTGATCGGCACTGATGACAGGAACTCGCCATGTTGGAGGATTACAGCCAATAAGGAGGGACAGAAGAGACAGAGTGTTCTGGAAACCACCGAGAACTCGAACCCTCGACCCTGTGACCTGTGACCTGTGACCTGTGACCTGTGACCTGTGACCTGTGACCTGTGACCTGTGACCTGTCCTCAGGTGTGTCAGCTCTTCATGGGTCAGTCAGTTCATCTTAAATACAATCGTGTTCAAATTAAAAACTCTTCAAAAGACAAATATGAACAAACCTGTCCTGGACGCTGTGACTCTGAGCCTCTTTGAGCATCGTAACCACGCCGCCGCCGCCACCGCCACTGAGCCGCCACGATCATTAAAACTACAACAGGAAGGTCCCTGAGAGCTTCATAAAACAGCATGATTAAAATTCAAGTAAGAGGGGAGGTGAATACACACGCACGCACGCACGCACACACACACTGTCAGTGAGGGTCTGTTTAACATACAGTATGAAGCCCTGAGGTCTCAGAGCGGTCAGACGGTTTTAACATTTACAGAAACAAGGAGGTGCTCCGACATGGAGGAGGAGGTGAGGAGGAGGAGGAGGAGGAGGAGGAGGTGAGGAGGTGAAGAGGAGGAGGAGAGGAGGAGGAGGAGAGGAGGTGAAGAGCTGCTCTAACATTCAGGAGGAATGAGGAGGAGGTGAGGAGGAGGAGGTGAGGAGGAGGAGGAGAGGAGGTGAGGAGGAGGAGGTGAGGAGGAGGAGGAGGAGAGGAGGAGGAGCTGAGGAGGAGGTGGAGAGGAGGAGAGGAGCTGCTCTAACATTCAGGAGGAACGAGGAGGAGGTGAGGAGGAGGAGGTGAGGAGGAGGAGGTGGAGAGGAGGAGAAGGAGGAGGAGAGGAGGAGGAGGTGAGGAGGAGGAGAGGAGGTGAAGAGCTGCTCTAACATTCAGGAGGAATGAGGAGAGGAGGAGGAGGTGGAGAGGAGGAGGAGGAGAGGAGGTGAGGAGGAGGAGTAGAGGAGCTGCTCCACATGTCCAGTTTCTGATGACGCGCAGGTTTGACGTGAAGGTCGGCGTCCTGATCATGTGACATGTGTGGATATCATCATTCTCACTGCAGGACGCAAGCATGCGAATAATTACGTCACTCAGGAACCCATCAGTCCTCCACGCTCCACAGTCCCCCCTGCCCCCCCCCACACAAACGTCTCCTTGACGGCGTGGAAAACGGCGGCGTGTCCGCGTGTTTATTTCCTGTGATTTCCTGAGAGGAGCGAAAAGTGCCCTGATCACTATCCCTGCTGTTCAAGGCTACCTGAAGGTTCCTGTCCTCCTCGCCGCCTCCTCTCAGGAGGACGGACGGGGGAGAGAGGGGGAGAGAGGGAGGGAAGAGGAGATAAGGGGAGGAAGGTTGTAAGTGAATAAAAGTGTGTGGGTGAGGAAGAAGGTGGGGTGGGCAACCCGTGAAATTGCTCCAACACGGCGACAGCGAGGCCTCAGCAGGACCCCCCCTCACCGAGCCGGAGCCCCCGGAGCCCAGACCCCCTCCTGTCCGTCTCTCTCTCCTCCTCCTCCTCCTCCTCTCTGTAAGGTCGGCTGCACACGGGGCGGAAAAGATCGTATTTATCACCTGTCAGCGTTTGGCAGCCCTGAGTTACGCGACGCAGGACAGCATAAAATTATCATACACAGGCATGAAATTACAAAACCGCCCGGGGACCCCACAACAAAATCATTTCATTTCTCCCAAAAACAGGAAGGAGGGAGTTTGGCTGCGAGGTGAGGGGGTGACAGGTGAGGAGAGGGGGTGACAGACGAGGGAGGGAGGGAGGGAGGGAAGGAGGGAGGGAAGGAGGGAGCAGAGAGATGAGATGGAGAGAAGAAGAAGAAGAAGTGCAGAGGACGTTTGGGGAAAACTGTCCTTCACACTCCAGGAGTGAGGGACTAAAGGACACACACTCACACACACACATACACACACACACACACACTCACACACACACATACACATACACACACACTCACACACACACACACACACACACTCACACACACACACATGCACACACACACTCACACTCACACACACACACACACTCACACACGCTCACACTCACACACTCACACACACTCACACACACTCACACACACACTCACACACTCACTCTCAGGGGGAGGGGGTCCGAAGTCCGCTCACTTTTTGTTGAACATCAGCAGTTTGATTTTTACTTTATCTTATAGGGGAGACCGGGGATGGTCGTCACACCTCTGTGGCGTGAATCCGAGTCTCCGCCCCTCAGTGAACCTTTACTGGACGAACTCCGTCAGAGCCGCCGTTTTATCAGGAGTTCAAAATGTCAAACAAGTTTTAAAATCAGTCGGTAAAAATTCGTCTCTTTGACTCCGAACTTTCACCACATCCAGAACGGCTTCGATCTAAAACGGCGGCGAGTTTCGCCGTCCGACAACTCCTACTGGATCTGTTTGTGAGGTAATGTGAGGCGAATTTCGTGGAGGATTTCGGACAGCGGTAACCCTGAGAACTCGCTGCCGTTTTAGATTGAGCAGGAATCACAAGAACCCGCAGATTCACGTTCAATCTCACGATAACGAGTCGTCTCTCTAAAGACAGACACATAGACATATAAGCAGTAGATTGTGTCCTTCCAGAGGAGGAAATCTACTTCTAGACTTCTAGAATCAGCATCTCCTCATCCATGGTGTCATCGGGGTGAAATGACGTCTAAAAACCTTTCACTTGTTCGTCTCCGCCCGTTTGCATGGTGTGAAATACGATCCTCCTGAAACACGGAGTGTTTTATTTTGAAAAGAAGCCGGATGTTTTATTTTGAAGTCTGTGCCCGACTTCCTTTCCAGCACGGGTTAATCTGTGCTGAATTTATCCGCCATGCTCCGGCGTCCAGAAAAAATAGAACTCTAGTGATCAGCTGAGGAGTCCGGCGATCCGCAGAGGAACGGAAAGAAGTCGGTGTAAA